GGGACGCTTGCGCGCCCTCTCCGGCAGTCCACGGGGATGTCGCGCTCGTGGAGAGGGCCCAGCTGGAGCCACCTCCAGCCAGTGCCCACATGCAGCTACGGCGAGGCCATCCCCCGAAGGGCACGGGGACGCTTGCGCGCCCTCTCCAGCAGTCCACGGGGATGTCGCGCTCGTGGAGAGGGCCCAGCTGGAGCCACCTCCAGCCAGTGCCCACGTGCAGCTACAGCGAGGCCATCCCCCGAAGGGCACGGGGACGCTTGCGCGCCCTCTCCGGCAGTCCACGGGGATGTCGCGCTCGTGGAGAGGGCCAGCTGCGAGCCACCTCCAACCAGTCGCCTCATGCAGCTACAGCGAGGCCATCCCCGAACGGCATGGGATGCCTGTCGCGCCACTCTCGGCAGTCCACGGGGATTCGGTCGCGCTCGTGGAGACGGGCCCAGATGGAGCCCACCTCCAGCCAGTGCCCACGTGCAGCTACAGCGAGGCCATCCCCCGAAGGGCACGGGGACGCTTGCGCGCCCTCTCCGGCAGTCCACGGGGATGTCGCGCTCGTGGAGAGGGCCCAGCTGGAGCCACCTCCAGCCAGTGCCCACGTGCAGCTACAGCGAGGCCATCCCCCGAAGGGCACGGGGACGCTTGCGCGCCCTTTCCGGCAGTCCACGGGGATGTCGCGCTCGTGGAGAGGGCCCAGCTGGAGCCACCTCCAGCCAGTGCCCACATGCAGCTACAGCGAGGCCATCCCCCGAAGGGCACGGGGACGCTTGCGCGCCCTCTCCGGCAGTCCACGGGGATGTCGCGCTCGTGGAGAGGGCCCAGCTGGAGCCCACCTCCAACCAGTGCCCTCATGCAGCTACAGCGAGGCCATCCCCGAAGGGCACGGGCGACGCTTGCGCGCCGCTGTCCGGACATGTCCACGGGCGGCCCGCGCTCGTGTGAGGGCACCAGCGGAGCCACTCCAAACAGTGCCTCATGCAGCTACAGCGAGGCCATCTCCCGAACGGCATGGGATGCCTGCGCGCCCTCTCCGGCAGTCCACGGGGATGTCGCGCTCGTGGAGAGGGCCCAGCTGGAGCCACCTCCAGCCAGTGCCCACATGCAGCTACAGCGAGGCCATCCCCCGAAGGGCACGGGGACGCTTGCGCGCCCTCTCCGGCAGTCCACGGGGATGTCGCGCTCGTGGAGAGGGCCCAGCTGGAGCCACCTCCAACCAGTGCCCTCATGCAGCTACAGCGAGGCCATCTCCCGAACGGCATGGGATGCCTGCGCGCCCTCTCCGGCAGTCCACGGGGATGTCGCGCTCGTGGAGAGGGCCCAGCTGGAGCCACCTCCAACCAGTGCCCTCATGCAGCTACAGTGAGGCCATCTCCCGAACGGCATGGGATGCCTGCGCGCCCTCTCCGGCAGTCCACGGGGATGTCGCGCTCGTGGAGAGGGCCCAGCTGGAGCCACCTCCAACCAGTGTCCACACGATCAGGCAGAGGCCGCTTTGGCTCGCCTGCTCGCCCGGTGTTCCCCGGGACGGTTCCACGGCGGCGTCCCGAGGAGGCAACCTGGCAGCGCACCCCTCGGGGTCAAGACACTCCCATCGGCAGGAAGCTCCGCTTGATGCCGATTGGGCCTGCCCAGTCTGGATCCCTCCCACTGCGGAGCCCTGAGAACGAAACCTGTCAGCGTACCCTCTGGGACGATGTGCTGTGATCGGCAGGAAGCAGATGAGGAGAATGAGGATCGGGGGCCCCCAAACGGTGCGGTGACGACTCCATGTGGTGAGTCAGTGGGGATTCGGGGTGACCGCACGGTTTTGAGGCTTGTTACGTTCTCCGAGGACGTTTGGGACGATTCGGGCCTCCGAGCTCCCCAAAAACGTGCGCGGATGGGCCGAGCGGTGAGGTGTCCTGAGATTGGTCGAGGTCACCGCACGGACTGTCGCCGCATCGTTTTGGGACCTCTCTCAGGAGAGGATGTGAGGCAGGGGAGGGGGAGCACGCCGACCGAACATCCATCCTGCTCCACGCATGTTCCTCGTCCTCCTCGTCCTCAGCCTGCGCAGCATATTCGTCATGATGTTGGCTGTAGCAGAAGTCATTTGGGCACCTTCTCGGCGGAAGCCTGGAAAGCGGCGGTGCGCGGGTGTACTGTCCAGCGCACGCTCGTGCCGTTGCTCGTGTGCCTACGGACACGCGGCTTCGTTCATTCATTCCAAGCAGGAGGAGGAGGAGGAGGAGGAGGAGGAGGAGGAGGAGGAGGAGGAGGAGGAGGAGAGGAGGAGGAGGAGGAGGAGGAGGAGGAGGAAGGAGGAGGAGGAGGAGGAGGAGGGGAGGAGGAGGAGGAGGAGGAGGAGGAGGAGGAGGAGGAGGAGGAGGAGGAGGAGGAGGAGGAGGAGGAGGAGGAGGAGGAGGAGGAGGGGGAGGAGGAGGAGGCGGAGGAGGAGGGAGGAGGAGGAGGAGGAGGAGGAGGAGGAGGAGGAGGGGGGGGGGAGGGGAGGAGGAGGAGGAGGAGGAGGAGGAGGAGGAGGAGGAGGAGGAGGAGGAGGAGGAGGAGGAGGAGGAGGAGGAGGAGGGGGAGGAGGAGGCGGACCCGACCCCCCGCGGGCCCCGCCGCTCTCCGGGCCCCCCCCCGGGGGGCCGGGCCGCCCGCCGAGGCGGTCGCCCTCTGCGCCCTGGCCCGGGCCCTCGCGCAGCCGCGCTTCGGCCGAGACCGGCCAGGCGGCTCCCGGCCCCGCGCGCGCGCGGGGCCCGCCCGGCGCTCGGAGCGGGGCGGCCGGAAACCCAGACATGATCGCGTCGTGAAAAGATCAGGACGGGAGGTTTTTGGTTATTTTCGGCCCCGCGGGGCCCTCGCCGGACCTCGGGACCTGCAGAAAACGACGCAGGACGAAAAACCACCCCCCGGGGAAAGGGTCGGGACTTGCAGGGACGCCGTCCTGAAAAAATCAGGACGTCGCATGTCTGGAGAGACCTCTGCGCACCACCCGCCAAGCCGCCCCAAGGCGGCCCGAAGGCCTCGAATGGACCTCCATTTCCAGTGGGGGGGGGCGGGGGCAGCGGGGGTGGGTGGGGGTCGGGGAACATCGAGAAGGCACACACATGGAGCTCGTACTTACCCCCCCCCACCCGAACTTCGGGTCTCTTCGGGCTGGGTTGGGGTGGTCTGGTAGGCAGTCACCTGCAGGGCGGCGAGGCCTCTGCACATCGACTGCGCCCCCGGCCGTGCCGGGCCCCTCGCCGAGGCCAGGAGCCGTGCAGGCGCCCGCCTGGCCGAGGCAGGAGGGCGTGGCGCTCGTGCGCCGCTGCTGGGTTCGGCATGGGCCTGGCCAGGGAGCAGTCGGGAATCGCGTATCGATTTCTCGTCGTCCTGCGCCGTGAGCTCCAGATCGGTCCCCAGGTTCCCCTCGCGGAGTCCACGCGCCACCAGTCTTTTCCGCGCTGCGTCTGGCCGTGGCGACGAGGGGGCCCCCCCGCAGGCTGACTGCACCAGTATCTCTAACGCCTCTTTCAGGGGAGAAGGGTGCGGGACGGGAAGGTGACCACAGCCACTGCTTCTTGTTTGCGCCGCCTTCCAGCCGGCCGAACAAGACGCAGTGGTTGCGGTCATTTCCCTGGTGCCAGGCTTGACGACAATGACCACCACCACTGCTTTGTTTCTGCTGGCTGGAAGGCGGCAACCAGAGAAAAGCAGCGGCTGTGGTCGTCTTCACGTCCCGGAAAGGGCACACACCGAGGACCCCGACATGCGCGCGGCGTGGAGCAGTCACGACGGGAGTGTTTGATGGCGTGTTCGGCCTTCGCTTGGCATCGCTCGGACGTGTGCATGTTTCTTTCGGCGAGGACCATCGAGGAGCATCCTTGATCATTTCAACCGCAAAAAAGCATAGGAAATGGGCGTCCGAGCGATGGCCAGTTCGGGGGGTCCTCGCCTGGCCACGGGGCCGTCAACACAAGAGCGAGTCGTGATGAGAAGCTGGCCCGGGGAAGGGGTCGGGACTTCGGGGGCCCCGTATGGAAAGAAATCAGGACATCGCACGTTTAAACTATGCTGTCCCAGGATCCCACGTGCCAGAGCTGAAGGGGGGCAGGCGGCTCCCACGGCGCCGTCAGGCATCAAAGGAATACAGCGAATATCCGACCCAGCAGCGGGACACGAGGAGAAACCAGACACGGGCGAGCGTGGGGCGTCCAGCCCCCAACATTTGTTCGATCGATCCCGCTCGGGACCTGCAGGCGGGCCCCGAGGGCCCCAGAAAGTCGGTACCTGACCTGGCACTCCAAGGGGCCCTCGAGGCCAACAAAAAACAGATCACGTGCGGAAGACCCCTCCCCTCGAGAGGAGGGTGGGCGGGGCCGAAATCTTGAGGACGGCAAAGCCGAGAGAAGACACAGAAGAGGACGGCACGAGGGGAGGGGAACAAGCAGTATAAAAGAGCGTTATAATAACATTTATTTAAACTATGCTGTCCTAGGATCCCACGTGCCAGAGCTGAAGGGGGGCAGGCGGCGCCCACGGCGCCGTCAGGCATCAAAGGATAACAGCGAATATCCGACACAGCAGCGGGACACGAGGAGAAACCAGACACGGGCGAGCGTGGGGCGTCCAGCCCCCAACATTTGTTCGATCGATCCCGCTCGGGACCTGCAGGCGGGCCCCGAGGGCCCCAGAAAGTCGGTACCTGACCTGGCACTCCAAGGGGCCCTCGAGGCCAACAAAAACAGATCACGTGCGGAAGACCCCACACAGGCCAACCAGCCCCTTCTGGCCGCAGGCCCTATCTAGATTGCACAGCGCAGGACGTAGCACACCAGGGAGGGAGGGAGGGAGGGGCGAAGGAGTAGGTGACTAGTCCTGACCCCCCCAGCTTAGGCACATCATTGGGATCCCCGAAAATACATCATTCTTCATGTTAATTGGAGAAAAGAGGCTACGTGCTGCGCCTTCTAATTTGCGCCTTGAGGCCCGACCTGGGCCTCGCCACCTCTGGGCGCGGCACCTCTGAGGAGCCGAGCGGCAGCGAGGCACCCTGCGGCAGCCCCTTCAGCATCCTTATCAGACGAGCAGTGAGTGGCTTGTCCGCCACCCTGGACTTCCCCAGCGCCTGTGCCATGAACACGCCTGGGGCCCGCCAGAACTCCTCGCCGTCTCGTAGCTTGGCGTCAGTCATGATGCTGCGCCTCGCAATGAGGATGAACGACTTGGTATACCTCTGGAGGGCGCTGGCCGTGTTCCAGCGCCCCCTTCTCCGTGCCACCTCGAGGTCTCCCCCTGCCGCCACAAAATGTGCGGCTCCCGCATGCCTGAGGCCATGCGGGGGCCCGAACTCCTCGAGCCCGAGCCTGACGAGGGAGCGGTTCCACTCGCGCCTGTACTTGTCGGGAGTGATGGGGAAGACGCAGTCGTCGGGGGCGAGGTCGGAGATCAGGACCTTCATGATCTGCTTGCCGAGCTCCGTCGTCAGCTCGACGCCCTGGCCCGACCCCGTCTTGACCTTCTCGCCCCTGGCGCGGTCCCCCAGGAGCAAGGCCATGCGCCCCGTCTTGTCCGTGCTCACGTCCCGTCTGCGGAGGCCGGCCCAGTCCTGCTCACGTAGCCAACCGTCCAGCTGCACGATGACCGCGCAGGCCTCGAGGGGCAGCCCGCGCTCACACAAATCCACTACTATCAGCGCGACCCCCTCGATAGGGATGGGCTGCCCCTCCTGCCCCTGCTGCTGTCTTTCCCATGCTTTGAGAGCTCTCGCAGCCAGGGGCAGGTGGTTACGATGATCCTCGAAGATGTGCATGAATCCATTGAAAGCCAAACTCCCACTCGCATAACCCAATCCACGTACGTAGCAGAGGTCCGAGAGGTATGAGGCCAGGGCCTTGTCACGCTGGTGCACCGTCTCGAACGGAACGCCCAGCCTCTTTGTGTCGATGAGGAAATCCCTGACAGCCTTCTCGTACACCACGTTCGTCTTGTCGTCGACCGCGTGGATCGCCAGCCTGTTGTTGAACTCCAACGTGTCGGTGGCCGCGTTCGCCCAGGCCAGGGCCCCCCTGGTCTTCAAGGGCGGCGGTCTCGATGTCGACCGAACAGCTCCGACGGTGTGCACGAGGCCAAAGATGATCAGGAAGAGGTGAGCTGGCCGTGATCTCGTCGAAGCACTCCGCGGGGGCCGGAGCCCGAAGGCCCACTCCTCGGGCCCCTCTCGCGTCTCGGCCAGCTCCATCCGATAAATCATCACGTCGAGGGCCTCCCCAGCATCATCCTCACAGCCTTCGGGGTGTGTCGCCACTTGTGCTCCTCCTTCGTCGCCTCCGCCGCTCCGATCCCCAGTCCACGACTCGGTCCGTCGGCCACGTTGTCCTCCGATGCAACCCATCTCGTACACAGCTTGATGCCACACACCAGCACCACTGCTGCCGCTTGCCTTGCCAGATGCAGTAAGCCAGCCGCTGATGACCGTCCTTTGGCCAGCACTCCCATGGATACCAGGGAGTCCGAAAACACCAGTACCCTCATGCCCCAGCAGGGCCTCGATCGGGAAAGGTGACGAAGCAAGGCAACGATCGTGCGCAGCTCGAGGATGTTGTTGTGCTCCTCCTTGGCCCACTTCCCCTGAAACAGCAGGGCCCACCTCGAAACCCTCGTCCATGAGGCAGAAGCGGGTAGGGCCTGACCCCTTGCCCGCACGATCTTCAGCTGCCCCTCCTCGATCTTCGCCTGGGCCCCCGTCGAGACTCTGCACCGATCGGGCAAGATCTCCGCCACGGTCCCGCCGTACAACATCCGCCAGGCAGTGCCGTAGCTGAAGTCCGTCTCCCCCGTGCCTGACCAGGTCCCAGGTCCCTCCACACTGTGCAGCCTCGAGAACCGCTTGTCGTTGGTCACCAGCAGCATCTCCGACAACGCGTCGCCGCAGGTGTAGCCGTAGACCCCGTCCAGTCCCAAAAAGTCGGACCAGACCTCGTCGATAAATCGTTTGTGCCGCAGGATCGCCGTGAAGATGAGGCCTTCCCTGCGCATCAGCTTGGCCACCTCCAGCGCCATGTGCTGTGCGATGGCATCCTTGCCCGGCTGCAGGTGCGCCAGCCACCACCAACGCCTCCTGATCCGTCCGAAGAGCCGCTCGAGCTCGCTCGGGATCATCAGGTCGTAGTTCGGGCCGCGCAGGATCTCTGAGGCCTCGCACCAGATGCCCTCGATCGTCCTCAGGTCGTCCGTCAGCGCCTCGACGCCCGAGTAGAGCTCGAGGAAGCCTGGTATCCCCGCTGGGGGGTGGATGACCTCGTCGTCCTCCTGGCCAGCCATCTCGACCTCCTGCTCTATCTCGCCAAAGACCTCCTCGGTCCTCATCTCCCAGACCTGGTGGTTCCCCTTGCTCATCTCCGCGCGGCACTCGCTCGAAGTGGCCTCGGTCTGCACGATCCCGTACCCCTCCTCGGAGGCGTCCGTCATGAACACCTTGGGGTACCAGTCGGCCTCGAGGTTGGAGGTAAAGTAAACCGAGAGGCTCGCCAGCGCCATCAGCTCGGACACGACGTCCTGGGGGAGCCTCAGCTTCACGTCCCACTCGTTTCCCATGTGCTCCTGCACCCACGAGTAGATCGCGCTGAGGATCGCGAAGCCAGACCGAGAGATCATAAGACACCAGGTCCACATCCCCAGCAAAGACGACAGACGCGATGGTGTGGTGCTCCCAGCTATCACGATGGCCTCCGTCGCCAAGACC